AAAAGTAATTTGCAGTCTTCAGAAAATAACGTGTAACCTTATTTTACACATTTGGCAAGCCATGAAGAAGTGGTGGGTCATGGACTACAGGTCCCAATTCTGCTCAATGCACATCAGTAACTTTACTTACAAATAACTCCACTGAAGTCAAGATAATAAAGTTACTCAACATGCAGTTTCACAAGATCAGATCTCAAATTCTTGTATCACCTACAGGCCTTCTTTCAAACAGCCCTTTACACATAGTCGAACATTTTTGAGCTCATCCACAAAGCCCCTCGTCTCTCCACATTTAAGTAGGGATGTCAGATAGCATGTAATTTAATAGTCGTGTAACTGCATTAAATCTTAGCAGTTACACGATTATTCTATAGTCCCCAAGGGCAGGTCCAGCAGCCAGTGCACTCCCAGCCCCACACCTAGTGAGTGGGGTAGCTGGTAGGAGCTGGTCCATGAGGGGAGCCAGTTTAAAAACCGGCTCCCCATGCATACCCGCTCCCGCCTGCTGCCCCACACTGTTGCCTCTGATATAGAGGCAGCAGCAGCCCTTGTCTGCGGGGGGAGGGCCCCAAGTCTCCCACAAACAGAGGCTATGCCGCCATCAATGGACCAGCCTCTGTCCGAAGCAAGCCCAGGCCTGGCGTGGGGGGCCCTCTCCACCACCCTACTGCCTGTGATAGAGGCAGCAGCGTAAGGAGGGGAGCAGGAGGAGCTGGTGCTCCGAGCACCAGCTCCTGCCTGCCTCCTCCACACCCTGCTGTCTCTGTGGGAGGTAGTAAGGGGGAGGAGACAGCTCCATGGGAGCTGATACATGCAGACATACAGCTTGAAAGCCAACTTCCTGCATGTACTTTCTCCTGCCTGGCCCCCTCACCCTCTGCGCTGCTGCCTCTCTATCAGAGGCAGCAGTGCAAGGATGGAAGTGGCAGGCAGCTCCACAAGATCTGGTGCTCCTGAGGAGCTAGCTTAAAAGCTGGCTCCTCATGGGCACTGGCTCCCACCTCCACCCCCACTGCCTCTTTATACAGAGGCAGCGGGGGGAGGGGGGTGCATGTAGTTGATGGGATTAACCAATAAACCCAGGGTTATCAGCTAATTGTACAGTTGTCTAAATGCTGACATCCCCACATTTAAGTCCCTCTTACAGACTCATTTCTGCGAAACTGCTTTTAGTTTGCTTAAAGTTGACTTGTATTTGCATTGTATATAATTTGCCTCTTATTCCTGTATCATTCCCCTTTAGCCCTGTCTACTTGCCTGTCTTTAGATTGCAAGCTCCTTGGAGCAAGAAACCATCATCCATGAGCATCTGAAAAGCGTCTGCCACACATCTCATGCATTATGGTAAAAGAACAATAATCTGAGCATCTAAGGGAAGAATAGCCAATGGAAGAAGAGAGAGAAAACAAACACTGGGGAACAAAGAATGGAGATGAGGACAGGAGAGAAACACAGCCTCCACGTGATATAAATAGAACAGTAATGTTTCAGAGGCTTGAAAAGTAGACCAAATAAGAATCAATAGAATAATATGTTGAACAAAAACATTGCAGTTCACAAATGAAAAATATTTACAATATTTTTAATTTTGATTCTTAATGTATAAGGATTGTGGAAAATCCCTCTCCCTGTACTATACTGAGTTTTCTATTTTCCTTCTCTCCTTCCTGGTTCAAAGTCAATCAAATTGCACATTAATTGGGTACAAGATCTGCCCTCATTACTTCCTGGGCAAACTGCTACTGTGATGTTCTTTTTTGGAAAGAAAGAAAGAAAAAAGAGGGGGGGGGGGACGCCAGGGAAGAACACTAATATAGTGAGTATTATGACTAGTATTTAAATAGCACCGAAATATAGTGGTGCTTTACAGGCACAGAATAAAACAAGTTCCTGACACAGGGAGCACCAGGAAGAGAGGGAAGCATTTTAGCATTGTTATTTTCAATCTTTGCCTTTCCTCCCCCACATTTAAATTAATTCTTGACTAAGTCTTGTGATACCCATGTAAGCCACACCTATCTGCTCTGATATACATACCTTACCCTTTTATTTTTGTTATCAGTATTTTCTATTTTTGTTTTTTGACACTACATTTTTTCTTTAGACCTCACCTGTTTATTCACAACCTTATAGCACTGCTTAACCCTTTAATGCCCATTTCTAACCAATAGCTAACCTGATACCTTCCCTTCTTCTCATTTAATAAGCTCACAATCAGCTACACCCACCCTCTGCCTTACTACATTGCAACCTGCCTCTCAAATCACCTTGCATACTGCCAAGTCATGTGACTACCGACGTAGAGATTGAGTGGCCACAGCTGTTGATCCATCAATAGTTGCTCAAGGGCAGAGGAAGAGTTAGCTGTCCTGGCCCACGTGCTGGTTCTGGGAGAATGCCTTTAAGGAGACCTGATGCTCAAGATGTTTTGTTCTGCTGAGCAACCTGCTGGCTTGCTGGCCCCAGCTACTGCTCTGAATCTCTTTTCCCATGGGGAAAACATAATAAAAACACCCCTCCCTCCCTGATTAGGATAGCATCAATAGATGAGAGCATGTGCACACCACACAACCTAAGCAGCATGCCCACTGAAAGGAACCGAGGGTTTTTTGGTAAAGAAACATATTCCCCCCACCCCAAGATATTTTTATAGAACTGCGGGGGAAGGGGGTTAAGGGTTTTAAAGCTAGAGTAAATCCTTCTAAAGTCCCTTTTAATATACAATTAAAGTTCCTCAAAATGTTTGCTTTCCCAAGCTGCCCTTAAACATAGAAAGTCAAATCCCAGGCCTACTAACCTCAATACCAAAGCTCCCATTGACTTCAGCAGCCCCAGAACCTAGCTGAAAGGTATTCATCCAGACACGGGAACACAGAGGGCAGAATCAAATCTGCATTGATAATTATATAGATTGTTTATATAAAACTAGATTAGTGTGCCCAGAACACAGTATCTATTACAAATTAACAAGAATTGCTTGTTTGCAGTTATTAACAATAAAAACTAGTGATCAATCAGCTTTGTCTTCACCAGGCCATGACTGGGACATTCTCAGAAAGCTCCACAAGACACAGTGGGCCCTGAGGCTGCATTTTAGAAATGTATACTTACCAAACTGTAACCAGACAAATACAGAAATTAAACAGTGAAATCGATTAGGGTTGGGTGGAAGGAGAAGAATCACAAAACATTCTTCCCACATTTGGACACATTTTTTAAATTAAAGCAAATTTAAACCAAAATGATTAGGGGGCTGGCACACAGGACCTACAAGGAGAGGCTGAGGGATTTGGGCTTATGTAGTCTGCAGAAGAGAAGAGTGAAGGGGGCTTTGATAGCAGCCTTCAACTTCCTGAAAGGAGGTTCCAGAGAGAATGAAGAGAGACTGTTCTCAGTAGTGATGGATGGCAGAACAAGGAACAATGATCTCAAGTTACAGTGGGGGGGGGGGGGGACTAGGGGGGGGGTGGTGAAGCACTAGAATGGGTTACCTAGGGAGATGGTGGAATCTCCATCCCTAGAGGTTTTTATGTCTCGGCTTGACAAAGCCCTGGCTGAGATTGGTCCTGCTTTGGGCAAAGGGGCTGGACTTGATGACCTCCTGGGGTCTCTTCCAGCCCTGGGATTCTATGATACTGCAGCAAAATTAGGTTGCTTCGGTTCATTCTGCCTAAGGAGTTTAGAAAGCCTTCATATCATCTCTGTAAAGTCCCATGCAGCTTGATGTCCAGAATTAGACAGAAAAATAAAATTAATATTACCCTTCATTTCAAAATTGCTTTTTTTCCTCAGAACTTCTTTCAATAAGCTAGAGACTATAAAATTACTACTAAGGAGAGCTATGAAGTCTTTTTCCCCAAAAAAGTTTCTTAATTGTCCTATTTAAAAAACAAACAAACCATTTTTGTCCAGAAAATCTAAAAACATTATCAAAATGGTGGTAAACTCTTTAATCAAAACTCAGTTTTGGTAAACCAAACATTTTCACTTACCAAAACACTGATTATAGATGATAAAAAAAAATTTATATCCATTTAGAATCATAGAATACCAGGACTGGAAAGGACCTCAAGAAGTCATCTAGTCCAGTCCCCTGCCCTCATGGCAGGACTCAGTACAATCTAGACCATCCTTGATAGACATTTATCTAACCTGATCTTAAATATCTCCAGAGATGGAGATTCCACAACCTCCCTAGGCAACTTATTCCAGTGTTTAACCACCCTGAGAGTTAGGAAGTTTTTCCTAATGTCCAACTGTAACCTCCCTTTCTGCAGTTTGAGCCCATTGCTTCTTGTTCTAGCCTCAGAGGCCAAG